TGTTCTTTTTAAATCATTGATGAAAGTGCGTTTGGGACTGGAGTAAAATAGATTATAATTTTTTTCTTTTTATTTTACCTGAAAGAGGTTTCTTTCAGCTCAAGTTTCTACTTTGGTGTTGGAATATAGAGCAGACAGACAGTCTGTGGTGTTCCATTTTCTTATAGTTGTAGCCTACACTAGCACTTCCTTGCTTCGTTTATGTTTACGCATGGATTTAGAACTACTGATTTTTAGTCACAAAGGCTTCCATATCTGGAACTTTATGGACTTTTCAATATCTCACCCCCAGCTCCTGTATTCCTTAGTATTTGAAGGACTTGCATTTGACTACTTGACCCTACTTTTCAAAAATTCTATTGCATTACATCTCTTGCTTTTTCATTTTCCTGGATTGCTGGTTTATTGCCTTCTTCACAGCCACCTCTACCATGTTTAATGGCTTCTCTGTTTTCTATCGTCAAAAGAGCAAAACGATGTGGCAAATTTGCTGCCTTCTTGCTGTCATTTCATTGCAGATTCATTTTCATCATTTTTGCAATTTTGAATGCGACAACTCCGACGGTAACACTCAAAGCTTCAAAAAATCCAAGCTAAACAAAACAGACGTCTAAATACATTCCTCGCACTTTGCACCTCTTCATTAGTCCCTTGGTGCTTTGGTTGTCATTGTCTTTGCATCATAGTAACATCTCTCTCGAACTTGTCAGCACCTCCTTCACCGCAGCTTCTCCTTTGGACTTTGCTGCCTCAAGGGATTTGGAGGTTCAGCATCACCAAGGTTGCATCTAATGTAGACTTTATCTGAAAAGCGCTGGCATTTCTATCAACTACGTACCTTTGTGTATTCTTCATCTCCTACACCTTCCTGGGGCTTAGGATTTGACTACTTGGTCAACAAAGTAATTTGATGCAGTGCACTGAATACCCTGTTGGTCCACGGTGAATTACTATTTATATCTCAATGGCACAATCCCAGAACGATAGCCATCACTCTTTTACTGACGGCAAGATGATTGCAAAACTAGTTTCAATATGATAGAAGCATATCGACTTGACTATTATATAACCCTCCTTCGCTCGGTCCAAGAATATAACAATTGTAGTAGACAAGTAATTTGGTAGGCAAGCCAAAAATTATGTTCAAAAATTGTTATAGACAACTCTTTTTAAAATTTATTTAGAACATCGAATTATATTAAGAAATAAGTTAAATTTAGAGTTTTTTTCTATTCAAGTTCAACTAATCTCCACGTATAACTAAACTATCTGCATTGCAAGATCTGCCACTTTGTTGAACAATTTTATATATATCCTATTTTACATTGTGGCCTAAAAGATCTTTTATCATGTGGGTTGTGGGGGTTCATAGTTTGTCTAGAGATGACTGCCTGCAAAGATATTCGATGCGCAAGAAGTGTGTGGCTACATACACGTCGTACAATGAATTTGCAATAAATTTTGTGTAGTCCTTGAAACAGAAATCCTTAAAACAAAAGGCTTATTTTAAGATTTTATGTTGATATAAAATATGTTTAAAATACTTCTTATACTTCTCTAATAATATTTTATTTACTAATAAAAAAAATGAATTGGCGATAAAGAGACAATTAAAGAAGAATTTAGCACTTTAAAGTTTAAAATCTTAAATATATATATATCCACCCAATGCTTATTACATCTAAGCAAATATATAAGTACAATTAATCAACCAACAATAACCAACAGTCAAAGCATAGTTAGATATCTATGACTACAATCATTTGTTCAAAGCAACATGCATGTATTTAAAAAAAAAAAAAAATCATTTATTTAAAGCGCCTATAGCCCCTCAGCCACAAAGCGATCATGTCTGCTGTCCTTCTGCTCATCCAGGATGCTTCTCTCCTACCAAAAATGTTTGGCCCAAGAGTCAAACAAAAAATGTCAACCAGAAGAGGAAATTGCAACTGCACGAACCATTTGATAGGAATACCAGCAACCAGTGTTATAGGAATGACTACCACCAATCGACCTTGTAGCGTGATGAAAAGAGCAGCACAAAATGCTATGGTCATTGTTGCAATAGAGATGAAGAGATAAGCAAGGCCGTTAATCACGAGGGAGTATTTGCGGTAATCCTCAGCCGCATGATGCGCAGTCAGAATCCCCAAAAATATTATCACTGAACTGGATGCAGCAAAAAGAGAGAGTGCATCTGATACCATAAATATCATAAACGGTATCGGAGTTTTGTGCGAAAGTATGGGAAAACCTGTACTTTGATCATTCCCACCAGGAACAGTAAAAGCCACTGCAAACATAATTGTAATAATAAGAGCACCAACAACTGTAGAAGATTCTGCTGTTTTCTTCCCCCATTCCTCTGCTTCTTTTAGCAAATCCTGGTGTTCTCTAACAAATACTTCCAGAGGAGTTTCCCTCTTCTTGTTTTTGTGTTTGTGGTAAGATCGTGGAACAATTTCTCCTACCCCCTACAGTGTTTCATAATATATGAAATAAGGAATTGTATAAGATTTCTCAATACTTAATTAGAAAAAACAAATAAAAATAAAAAATTACCTTGAACCAACGTAGTTCACTTTGCAACTGAAAAGCTGAACCAGAGATGCAACCTAATTGATAAGGAGGGGCTAACTTTGCTGCTAGATGTAATATGGTATTTCCATCTTTATCCATGGTAATACCCATGTTTGTATCCTTCTTTGCAAATTCATAAAGAAGGCGTGCCACCTCCTCTTGACGATGTGCTACAGCACAAGCAAATATTTTTCTTAAATCTTCAAGATTTGAGCTTCTCCACAAAATATTTTTATTAGCTTTTGTAATTTCTTTCACAATGACTGGGATGTCGTTCTGGATAGCCTGGAAGATTGCCTCCACTGCTCTACTTTGCACAAAAAGGTTCTGATCTAATTTTGATAATGGCTGACATATTAAACATATAACCTCACAGGCATAGTTATCCATCAACTTTCCAGCATATATATTCTTTGCTAATAACAAAAGAGGAAGAAAAATAACTTTAGTGTAAAGAAGAATCAAGATATAGAACAAAAATTAAGAAAAGAAAAGGGCTCATTGAGTAGACGTAGTATAATTTCTTACCAAGGATCCTTGAGAGCATTGAAACCAGTAGGCGTAGAGCCACTACAATGAATGAGTATATATTTAGGATCAGAAAGAATGAGTTTCATATTTGCAATTTATTGCCTTTATAACCGTTAGCTAAAATGTGTATGCTCATTGAGTGGATGCTGTTACTTATTGCTTACCAAGAATCAGTTTACCAAGGATCAGTAGCACTGAAAGCGTGATTCTGACGGCCAACCCTATAGTGAATGAGTTATATTCAAGATTAGAAAGAATGAGAGTTTCATGACTACAACATAATTGATTCTCTTTCTATGATCTTTAGTGAAAAATATTGCCTTTAACTCATAATACAAGAATAAAAATAAAATGACCTTAATCCAAAATATAAACACTAAAAGGAATAATATATACATCCATCAATAAGCTTTGCTGCTGAAGACATAACATTGAAATAAATTAAGGGAATAAAAATCTCATTAAGTGGACATTATTGCTTACCAATTAAAAAAAATGATATCTCAAGTGGACACCCTGCAGTAAGTAAGTAATATTTAAAATTTTGAAGGAATGAATTTTATAAATAAAATTAACATAAATGGAAAAAAGGGAAAAAGAAAAAATGCTAATTGAGTGGATGTTACTGCTTACCCATAATTATGGTTGACACTATTACTAACAGAAAAGCTGCAATGAATGAATTATATTCATTAATCAAAAGGAATGAAGTCGTAACTACAATAATTAATTACATACTTTTTCCATCATCTTTAGCTAAAAAGATAGCCTTTAACTCAGCATATATGGGAAGCAAAAAAGAATTGAATCCAAATTATAAAACAAAAAGCAAGAATTAATCACTATGAAACTCAAATAAGAATCAAGATACAGCACAAAAAAGAAAGCATATAACCCATTCTACAAAAATTTGTATGCTGATTAAAAATAAAAATCCAAATAAATTTTCTACGTTGATTAAAAAAAAAACATAAATTTGCTATATTATTTCTACAAATAAGAATCAAGATATTGCATAAAAAAAAAAAGAAAAAAGAAAACAAAAAAAACCAAAAAAAAAATAAAAAAATAATTTGAAAAAAAGAACCTTGGAAGGAAATAAAAAAAATCAAAAAGAAAAAAGTAACAAAAAAGTCAAAACGAAAAAGAAATAAGCACTTGCGGTGCTCACTGCACTAGCAATGTGCATTATAGACCTTGGCTATATCCCAACTTTGTATGAATAATTCCCCATTCCTAATTTCCAATTTCCTTTTAACTTATAACATATGAACAAAAAATGACTCTTACCAAATTATAAGGAAATCCAAAGAGCAACTTTTGTGCCAGGCATCTACCCAACAAATTCTACAAAGTCATTCGAGAAAATTGCAAATATTAAAAGAATATATACCGCATTTGCCTATAAATGATAATTCTTGAACATCTCCATTCGTTTCTTGATTCGTCTGTCCAATCTCTTGAATCGTCTGTTGATTCTCTAGATTCGTCTCTTCAGTCTCTTGAACCGTCTGTTGCATCCTGTATCGGATCTCTTGATCCGTTAGTTGAAGCGTCTCTGCACATGACCGAAAGCGTTGTTGGATCACCTCTGTAAATGGCTGGAATATGTCTCGCATCTTCGCTACACATGATCGATGCTTATCTTCTTTGATGACGTGGGCCTTCACTATTATGCCTTGAATTACAATTTCAATCGATGAAGAGAGCATTTAATAGATTAAATTAATCAAGAAGAACAAACTGAAAAAAAAAAACCCTAAATAGGTTACGAGAGTAGTGAGGAATTTAAAATTAAATTTGTTTCTAGCCAAATAATTATTAAATATACTAAAAAAATTATTATGTTAGAAATTAAAGAGGAAAAAAAGAAGTATTACTGACAATTATATATCCACCGTCTCCAAAATGAAAAGTGACTTCCGTTGAAAAATGGGGGTTGTGTTTGAGCCAATGTTAAAATGAGTGGAATGGAACTCGAAGACCAGCTGTGAGATGTCAACTCTGGAAAATGGTGGAGTAGATCGAATGCAATATCTAATATCAAAGTTTGTTAGAAAAAAATAAAATAACATCATAATATAAATTAATGACAAAAAATTAAGATGTCTCAATAATTAAAATTTTAAGAGTAATAATAAGAAGATTTAAATATACTTAATAAATTAACAAATTTGATGAATCAATTCTTAAAGAAAATTTATTAAACATATTTAAATAATTTTATAAATAATTTTAATATTTTAAATATTAAGATATTTTGATTTTAGTTTTTAGATAATATATTCCTTTCATTTATTTTTAATAGATTTAATATAATTTTTTGATTTTTAAAACATGAATTTTAAATAAAAATTTAATATCATATATAAATAATAATTAAAAAAATTCATTTTTTTATATATAATTCTTGTTGATTATTTGTATTTAATAAAAAAAATTTAATTATTATTTATATAATATGTAAAATTTTATTTTAAAAATTAAAAAATAAAATTACGTCTATTCAAAATAAAGAAAGTGAGTACTAAGGAGACAAAGAATTAATTAATGTTAAGAGTTCTGACCAAACATTTTTCTAGTTATACACTCCTGGAGGATGTAAAAGCCACGGTCAACGTTTAGAGACTCTAGTGGAGTCTCACGGTACAGATAGCGTGTCATGTCCTCTTGAATTGTGCTGCAGGCCAATTCAACTGGGATCTTTCCATCATTGTCTGGGATGGTAAGCAAATTACGGGTCATTCCAACTAAACTTTCTGCAATTGATTTCCCGACTCCGCAACGAGCAGCAATGGAAAGTGCAGTGCTCCCAAAATCATCTTTTATTTCCAACTCTTCTCGTGACAAGTTGGACTCGATCAAGTAATTAACAATTTCTTCCTTCCCATTATAAACTGCAAAATGAAGAGCTGTGTATCCATTTTCAAATATTCTTGCAGATCCTGGATTCGAAATTTCTCTAAAGAACTTCTGTACGTGCCCAAGGTCCCCATTGGAAATGGCATTAGTTAAGTTCTCATATTGCCAACTTGCAAGATTTCCAGGCCCTGCATGCCAACGACAGTTGTATCCACAATAAAAACAACACACACTCACCAATTCTTCTTTGTATTATAAAGGTTAAAATCTTACCCAAAAAAAATTAAAAAGATTTAAATAAACATTACAGATAAATTTGTTAACCATCAAATGTGAACCAATACCTTAAAAACTCAAACCAGATTGCAGTCTCTCCAATTAACAGATGCGAAAAAGAAAAAGAAACTAAAACAGAGATGAAATAGAATAAAACCTGTTTGCCTTTCTGGTTGGTGCTCAACAGTTTCCTGATGGACAACTGGGGGCTTGTGCATATTAGCCAATGCATCCCAAACTTCTTTAGCAGAATCCTTCTCCTTTATTTGATTGAAGATTTCTTCTCCACATGAAATCATAATGGCATGAAGAGCTAATGCATTTTTTTTCATCCACTCACTACTCATGTTTCCTCCAGTAGGCAACTGACTTGATTGAACAACATCCCAAAGATCTTGACCCAATAAATAGTACCGCATTAAAATGCTCCACCTGTTGTAGTTATCTCTTCTAAGAACTTCAGGTACAATCACATTAGTATGTGTAGCAACTATTTCCATCTTCGCTCCTATGAAATATTTAATCAAATAAAACTATTTCTGTTAGTCTCAGCATATAAAAATGAGATAGATGAACCAACTGAGTGTGCTTCCCCAAGCGGCAACCGCGCGAGTCCCAATGAAACTTGGGAGCACACCGCTTGTGTAATTTTCAAAACTCAAATGACAGTGATGTGATCATATCAATGCGGCTATATATATATAGAGCAGGGCTAGGGCACTCGCCTCCTGCACTCTCCGGCCTACACTCCCCCTTTCATTGGGCCACGTTATTTTTTGTGAGCAAGAGGTTCACTTCCGGGCTTAAACAAGCTTACGTGGCCCAATGAAAGGGAGAGTGCGGGAGGCGAGTGCCCCTAGCACTGCTCTATATATATAATCATCAATAAGGATTTCGAGCGATCTGATATATTTATCGTAAGAATCAAGATCAAATATAAAAAGTATATAGTTAAAAGAAAAGATTATTTATTTTGTAATTTAAAATATATAAAATTATTAAATAAGATAATTAAAAATGTAATTTTTATTTAATAATCTTTATTATGCAATCTAATACAATTTTAATTACATAATAAGTTTTTTTAAAATAAATATAATAAAACAAAAATATAAAAAATAATAAAATAAATAGATAGATTTTTTTTTCTTTTTATAGAAGAAAGAGACAGAAGTCTTCAAAATTCAATAAAGAGAAGAAAACCAATTAAAGAAAAAGGCCAGTCCTTGTGTTACCGTTTGTTTGCAGGTCGGCCCTTGTGATTTTTCTCGTTTGCAAATTGAACCTATGTTTGTTGGGAGACACCCAGTTTTTTAGGAGTCAACATTAGTTAGAAAATATGTACATGCCAGCGTTCGCCGCCATCTACTGGTACTTTTTTTTTTTTTTGAAATGA